TTATTAACCACTTTTTGACTTTCTGTTCAGTGAGGTCAATTTTTTTAGTTTCCCTGTATGGCTGAGAAGTGGTCTCTTTCTGTTCCTGACTTTTTTCACGTAACATTGTGCTCTAGGCTCATCTCTCTTACCTTGAATGACAGGACTTCATCTTTTTTTGTGAAAGAAGAGTTATTCCAGTGTGTATATTTACCACATTTTCTTTATCCATTTATTTGCTGATGAACATTTAAGTTGATTCCACATCTTGGCTGTTGTCAATAGTGCTGCAGTAAACATGGGTGTATATACTGATTTCCCTTCTTTTGGATATATACTGAGTAGTGGGATTACTGGGTCATAATATAATTATACTTTTTGCTTGTTGAGGAATCTTCATTAAGTTTTCCATAGTGGTTACACTAGTTTACATTCCTACCTGTGATATATAAGAGTTCCCCTTTTTATGCATCCTCGCTAGCATTTGTTACTATTTTTAAAAAATTTTTGCTATAAGGCACATGTCCTTGTCAGAGAAAGAGAAAGGGAGGAAAAGTGAGAAGTCATCCCCCAAGGGGAATGGCCATGCCACAATCCACAATCCCTTCTCCACTCTCCTCTCAGGATTCTGGGCATGCATGCCCATGTACCTGGCATGTTTTCCAACCCACTGGGTCCAGGACTTAAACCATGCAGTCAGCCATGTGGGATTTAGCACTTTCGCCATTATACCATCTGCTGGCCCTGCTTGCCTTTTTAAAAATAAAATTTGTTTTTTTGTTACTGAGTTGTTCGAGTTTCTTATGTATTCTGGATATCAATTCACTGCCAGTTAAATAATTAGCAAATATGGAGCGTATTAAATATGCATAACATGCATGTTTTGGGAGTTCCTTTCTACAATAGAATTTTTGATTAGATAAATTTTGGATGGGGTCCTACCTCGTGAATTAAAAAAATATACCAACAATCATTCATTGCAGTTTACTGTCATTTGGGAATAGAGGTAATCAACAGGATGGTGCTATTGGGGATAACGATTTTAAAAATACTCAAAGTATTTAATGTTTTTGCATGTGTGGTATTAGTCTTACACTTTCATTTTCCTTTCATTTGGTGAGTGTTTTCATTAGATTTTCAATAGCTTCTAAAAATACTTGTTATATTCTGATTTTCAAAGCTTAGGTTTAAGCCATAGGGGTCTCTTACCCTAAAAATTGCCTTACCTATAAATTGAACATAGCATAAAATTTGTTTCCATTTTATTGCTTTAGGTTAATAAATGAAGTAAATTAAAAGAAAAAAAAGGCCAAAGTTTAAGTAATTACTTATATATTCTTTATTTCAGAGGCTGGTTTAATTGATTTATTTGTCCCATAACTGTGAGAAGTCAGAAAAATCAGATTCTCATACTAAAAAATAATAGGTAAGTTCCTGTTACGATAGCATTCTGATTTAATGAAGCTTTTGTTTTCTTACTGGTTTTAAGGTTGTGATTTCATTTTTTTTGTTTTCATTTTAATGATAAAGCTCTTTTGTAGAATAATCTTATTTAGAAATACTCATAACACATCATAAAATGGTTCTGCTACGTATTTTCCAACAGACAAGAGTGTTTAAAATAATTAGAATGAAAAACTTGACAATTATTTGCATTCTGTTTTTGATTTAACAAAACAAAAAACTGCACAATATTAAGTTTTTTACTTAAAATAATCAGAAAATGGTACACACATTGTGTCTGTTATTAAATTGGCTGTGTTTCAAAGTTACCTGTAGAAATTAAAAACTTCCAAATCCTAAGTTCTATCTTAACTCTATTAACTCATAATTTTGGAGGATTTTGCCATTCAGCCTGGTCTGGGAACCACTGCAGTATGTAATATTGAGTGATTACTGTTTACAGTGGATGGAAACTAGGAAGCTATTTGTAGAGAAATCTCACAGCACCAGTAGGAAAAAGAATTCCACCAATTTATTTGGTTTATATAATTATCCGAAGAAAAATGTCTTACATTCCAGAGGCTAATTGCCTTGGTACTCTGATTTTTAGCACCTTTGTTGGGCAGACTATTTCAGAATCTGCCTCTTTGTGACCTGAGCAGACAATGCTTGTGGTTTATTTTATGACAGAGAATCAGAATGTGTGTACTGACAATTCAGATAATCTGGGGTTTCATATAGAAATACGATGGGAAAATTAATAAACTCTAGGAGAGCATAATAAATATAGAAGTAATATGTAATGGATTATATCTTGGAAGTAGTAATTTTTCTTTATAAATTAAGTACTGTATTCTCTGTTACTGAATCAAATTGTAATAACTAATGAGTTATCAGAAAATTGATAAAATTTAGACATCTGCTCTTGAAATGTTGGCAACAAACCACTCTGTCAGGGGATGTGTAATTCTCATCTGTACCCTGGGCTCACTGGTTGATTCAATTGCTCATGGCAACCTCATATATTTTCCTAGTTATGAGAAATAGGAGTGGGTAGGACTTGAGTGAATTTCTGTTTTCTGACGGTTATGGTAGGCATTCGAGTGTGTAGGAAATTATTGTGATTTGGGCCTTTTTTTTTTCTTTTAGTTTGAGTATTCAAGGACAGTAGCCATTTGACTTTGGTTATTCAAGATGCAGAAGAGGCAAGGATATTGCAGCTATTGCCGTGTGCAGTATACCAGCTTGGAACAGGTGAGAGATTCCTATTAAAATATTATCTCAAAGGAGCTAGTTAGGACTTTCTCTTCCCTTAGGTTTTTTAAAAATTCATTTGTTCATTCATTGAACAGGTTGAGAATCTAGGTTGAGCATCCCTAATCCAAAAATCTTAAATTCAGAATGCTTCAAAATCTAAGACTTTCTGAGCTCTGACATGACACCATAATTTTAAAATCCCACACCTGAGTCCTCATGTAATAGGTCATAGTCAAAATGCTGCAATATAAACTTTTGTGTAGAATTATCTTTCAGCTGTATATATAACACAAATTAATTTTGTGTTTACACTTCGGTACCTTCCTAGCCCCAAGATTTCTCATTATGTATATTCAAATATTCCCAAATCTGTGGGTTTAATTTGCATCTGAAAAAATTCAAAATTGGAAACACTTCTGGTTCAGTTTCGGATAAGAGATAAGTGCCAGATATTCTTTTAAGGTTGTAGGGGTAAGACCATAAACGAAGTGATTTCTTTTTTCATGCAGTTTGCATTCTAGTGTGGGAAGACTGAAAATAAATAATCATTTAAATTTGTTACATAACATGTCAGTTTCTGATCAATGTTATGAGGAAAATGAAAGAGGAAAAGGAATGCTGTTTTAGTTAGGATGGCTACAGTTTTATAAGGAAGTGATATTTGAGTTTAGATTTGAATGAAGTTTGGGTGTCAGGCTTATGTATGTATTACTGGGGGAAGAATTTCTCAGTAGAGAAAAGAGTGAACAAGGACAGAGACTGTGAGGCAAAAGAGTGGTTGACATGCTGCCGAAAAGCCAGCAGGCTGGTGTGGCCCTAGTGGAGGCAGGGAGCTTGGTGTGAAGTGATAGGTGAAGAATTCAGAGAAATAGATTTTGTGACTGGCAAGGGGTATGGTAGTTAAGGTACTGTATTCCTACATGGCTGACAGGTCAAGTCCTGGATCGGGTGGCTTGTCTTCTCACTTTCCTTTTCTCTCTTTCTGGTGAGCACATATGCCCTATACCAAATTAAAAAAATAATAATAATTCTTAAAAAATTCTTTTAAAGAGGTTTTTGCTTTAGGACAGTAAGAAGGAAAGTGAGATATATCACTCCTCCGGAGGGGATGGCCACATTCAGTCTCTTTTTCATTCTCCTTCCGGGATCTTGAGCTTACACATAAGCGCCTGGTGGGATTTTCACAGGTCCAGGACTTGAACTGTTGGCTGGTCATGTGGGAGTCCAGCGACGTAACTGCGGTGCCATCTGCTATTCTCAAATTAAATGATTCTTTAAAAAGGAAAGAAAAGACATTGTAGGTTAAGTCAAGGGCTTTGAATTTGAATCTTCCAAGTAAAATGGAAAGCCACCTCAGATTTCTGAGCAGAGGAGGTGATCATCTAACTTGTACTTTAAGAGAATCAGTCTCTCTCCTGTGAGAGGAATGATTGGTATGGAGTTTTTTCTTTTATTTATTTTTATGGTGATATAATTCATACACTGTAAACTTAACCTTTCGAAAGTACGTAATTCAGTGATTTTTTAGTATCTTTACTAAGTGGTGCAAACATCACTACTGTCTAATTCCAGAACATTTTCATCACCCTAAAAAGGAAATCCTGTACCCATTAAACAGTTACTCTCTAGGCCCTTCTATTCCTAACCCTTGGAAACCACTAATCTACTTTCTGCCTCTGCAGGTTTGCCTATTCTGGCTATTTCATATAAATGGAATAATATACTGTGTAATATATTTGTGTCTGACTTCTTTCATTTAGCATATTTTCAAAGTTCATCCATGCTCTAGTGTGTATCGTTAACGCATTCATTTTATGGCTGAATAATGTTCCGTTGTGTGGATATGCCACATTTTATTCATTTAATAATTGATGGAGATTTGCATTGTTTTTACTTTTTGGCTGTTATGAATAATGCAGCTATGGACTTTGGTGTAGAAGTATTTAGGTGGACATATGTTTTCATCTCTTGAGAATTGTAGGGTCATGTGGTAACTCTGTGTTTAAGATTTTTAAGGAGCTGCCACACTATTTTCAAAAGGGCTACACTATTTTATGTCACTACCAGCATTGCATGAAGGTCCCCATTTCTCTATATTTTTGCCAGAACTTGTTATTATCTAGATGGGTCTTTACTTATTTATTTGGTTATAGCCATCTTAGTGAATATGAAGTGGTATTGCATTATGGCTTTAACTTGTATCTCCTTAATGACTAATAACTGACTCCCTAATGATTAATGACATTGTTTCATGTACTGACTGGCCATTTTTATATTTTCTGTGGAAGAATGTCTATTTAGATCCCTTGCCCATTTTTTTTTTTAAAGAATTATTTTATTTTAACTTTACTTATTTACTTATTTTTAAAATTTTACCAGAGAGGGACAAAGTGAGAGAGTGAGAGAGAGAGAGGAGAGAAAGGGAAAGTGAGAAAGCAAGTCGCCAGGTCCAAGACTTGAACCATGGTTGGCCATGTGGGAGTGCAGCACCCTTGACCATTGTGCTACCTGCCGGCACCCCCTTGCCCATTTAAAAAATTATATTATTTGTCTTTTTATTGTTGAATTATAAGATTCTGGGACCAGCAGTTGGCGTAATGGCTATGTTGCTGGACTCCCATGTAGATAGACGACTATGGTTCGAGTCCTGGGCTCGGTGGCTTAAACTCAGGCCGGGCACGTATGCGTGCATGCCCAAGATACTGAGAGGAGAATGAAGGAGAGGGGATTGTGGGGTGGCCATCCCCCCGGGGAGTGATTTTCAGCTTTCTGTCTCTCTGTCTGTCTCCTTCTGGTGAGCGCCTGCACCTTATAGCAAAAACCTCTTCAAAAAATAAAATAAAAAAAGGGTCTTTACATATTCTAGTTAATGGACCTTTATCAGATATATGATTTGCAAATACTTTCTCCTATTCTGTGGATTGTCTTTTAGTTTTTCTTGGTAGTGTGGTTTTATGCACAAAGTTTAAATTTGGCTATGGTTGAATTTATTTTTCCTTTTGTTTTTGATGTCAGAATTGCCTAATCCAAAATTATGAAAATTTATGTTAATGTTTTCTTTTTAAGAGTTTTAGAATTATTCTTACATGTGATCTTTTATCCCTTTTGAGTTAGTTTTATATATGGTATAAGATAGGAATCTAAATTCACTTTTTAGCATGCAGTATTCAGTAGCCTCAGCACCATTCGTTGAGTTAATTATCTTTTCCTCATTTAATTATTTTGCTATTACTGTTGAAAAATCAATTAACCATAGACGTAGGGTTTATTTCTCTATTCTGAGTTTTATTCCATTGATCTTTCTATCTTTCTGAATGCCAGAAACACACAATATTTATTACAGTAGCTTTATAATAAGTTTTAAAACCAGGACATTTGATTTCTTTGTTCCTTTTTTTCAATACTGTTTTGTCTATTTTGGGTCTCTCTATTTTCATATGAATTTTAGGATTACCTTGTCAGTTTCTGCAGAAAGGCTGCTAGCATTTTTATATGAATCTTTTGATAAATTTGGGGAAGTATCCATCTCGTAAGTCTTCCAGTTCATGAATGGGATTTTCATTTAGCTAGGGCTTCTTTCACTTCTTTGAACAATATTTTGAGGTTTTTCAGTGTACAAGTCTTATTATTAGTTTTTTAAAGAATTTTTTGTTTTTTTATTTATTTAATCTTATTTACTATTTTGTTTTGCTTTTTGTTTTTTGAGAGATTTTGCCCTAGGGAGCATGCACTTGTTAGAGAAAGAGAGAGAGACAGACACAGTGAGAGGGAAAGTGAGAAATTATATCCTAGGGGGTGGCCAAGCTGCAATTCCTTCCCTCCATTCTCTTCCTGGGATCTTGGACACACATGCATACATGGCCAGCGTGAGTTCAAGCCACCACGTCTGGGACTTGAACTGTGGTCGGCCATGTAGGGTCCAGTGATATAACTGCTATGCTATCTGCAGGCCCCATTTATTATTATTTTTGTTTACTATAGGGCACATGTGTTCACCAGAGAGAGAGAGAGAATAAGAAAGAAAGCATTCTCAAATGAGGCATGGTCATGTTGCAATCCTTTTTTCTTCATTTCTCTCCAGAGATCAGGATTTTGAGAATGCATGCACACGTGTCTGGTGTATTTTTCCAAGCCACTGGGGCAGGGATTCAAGCCACAGTTGGACATGTGGCACCTGACTCCCTTAACCACTGTACTATGAGGCTGGCCCTGGTTTCGTCATTGTTGTTTTAAGCTTATTTATTTTCTTCATGTGTCTGAAAGAGAGAGACAGACTGTCAGTCACCCCTGACAGGGTCTTAGCATGTTGTGATTTTCCCCAGCCTTCCAGCCAGCCAGGATCATGGGCCAGCCTGTGGGTGCACCAAGTGTATTTGGGTTGACCTGTGATCAGAACTTGGGCCCTTCCCATATGGTTCCAGTATTGAGCAGGGCTCCTTACCACTTGCACCATTGTAGCTGAGCCAAGACTGTCATAATTTAAACCACTGCTGGCACTAAGGCAGTTCAAGGATAGACCTGAAGTCAACATGAAAGAGTTCTAAGAGTAGTAATAGTGGTCAGGAACTAGCAGCCTGATTTAGGTTTTCTGACACCCTTCGCATGGTATTTACATGCTTTCCCCTAAGTATTATTAAGTTAAAATGTTATTAGACCCAACCTGGTGATATAGGCAGTAGGGTGTTGCTGCACAATAATGGAGCCTTGAGGGGAATCTTGAGTCTTTCTGAACCTGCCAGGCATGCCTGTGGTCCTGGCTGACTGAAAGGCTAGGGGAGTCATCATGTGGTGAGACCTTGACAAGGGTGCTTTTGTCTTTCCTTCTCTCTCTCAAGAAATAAACCTTAAAAAGTTATTAAATTATAAATGACAGATGTTGTAAATATGCCACCAGGGACAGCATGATACAGTGACAAGAGCATAATTTTTAGAGTTAGATTCAAGATGTGTTATGTACTAGGTACACAATTATGGGTAATTTACTCTAATTTTTATGACTCAGTCTCTGAATGTCCAAAGGGAACACTGTTATTCAGTGAATATTCAACAAGATTGTCATATAAACTGAATAGCATTAACGTTTGGTACATGATAGGTGCTCAGTTGGTTAAACTTCCTTCCCATTCTGCTTGGTAGTATACTCAGTATTAGTAAAAACAGAATCTTTCCAGCTGTGGAGAGAATTACAAAATAGAAAAATGTAGTGTATTCATTCCAGTATTTTCTTGAAGATAGGATCTTTTGTCTCTGAAGGAAAATGAGGCCTTTATGTGTATTGATCTTTAACATCTGTTACACAGTAATCCAACCCTATTATCTCTTTTAACAGATTTTTATTATGAAAAATATTTGCTCATTGAAATATATAACAATTTATAAGAAAAAATTGAAAATGACCTATGACTGCATCATACTAATACAAAGACACTTAAATGCTTTTAAGATTTTGATGTAGTTTGTTTCATTTACTTATCTATATCTCTGTATATACTTTTTTCTTTTTTCCTCTCTCTTTAAAAAAACAAACAAAACAAAACAAAACTCGTCAGAAGGCCCAGGTATTCACCAGGGAGAGATGAGCAAAAAAGAGAGAGAAAAAGCATCCCCTCATGAGGAGTGGTCATGCCGCAGTCCCTTCTCCATTTTGCCTTCCTTTCAGCATTTTGGATGTGCACATACATGCGCCTGGCCTGTTTCTTAAGCTGCTGGGTCTCACACTGAACGATGTAGTCGGCCATGTTTGATCCAGGCCAAAGGCTGACCTTGCCTGTGCCTATTTTTTCTTTTTAGAATTATTTATTTTGGAGAGGATTTTGCTATAGGGCGCATGCACTCGCCAGAAAGACCAAGAAAGACAGAGAGAAAAAAGCCACCCCCGCCAGGGGGGATGGCCAGGCCACAATTCCTTCTCCATTCTCCTTTTGGGATCTTGGGCATGCAGCATATATGTCCAGCGTGAGTTTAAGTCACCGGGTCCGGGACTCAAACCATAGTCAACTACATGGGAGTCCAGCAACATAGCCATTATGCTATCTGCTGGTTCCCCTATTTTATTTTATTTGTTATTCTTATTTTTTTAGTTTGACCAGAGAGAGATAAAGAGATAAAGGGAATGTAAGCAGTTAGTGTAATGGCTATGTCGCTGGACTCCCATGTAGTCAACCGCGGTTCGAGTCCCAGACCTGGTGGCTTCAACTCATGCCGGGCGCATGTGCATGCGTGCCCAAGATCCCAAGAGGAGAATGGAGGAGAAGGGATTGCAGTGTGGCCATCCCCCTGGGGGATGATTTTTCGCTTTCTGTCTCTCTGTCTCTGTCTTTCTGGCGAGTGCACGCGCCCTATAGCGAAAAAAAATCCCAAAAAGAAAAGAAAAAGAAAGAAGAAAGTGAGAAAGCAAGCTGCTAGGTCCAGGACTCAAACCATGGTTGGCCAGGTGGAAGTATAGTACCTTAACTACCATGCCACTTGCTGGCCCTCTGTCTATACATTTTAAATCTATATTTGAGATAAAACCATGCATGTGATTTTTTGTACCCCCCATTTTTCTCTTAATATTTAACACTTCCCTATGTTGTTAAAAATTCTTTGTAGTATTTTAGATAGTTGTAAAGTGTTACACCTTAGGGTAAATCATAATTTGAGGATTTTACTGTTTAAGAGATTTTTAGTTTTTTATCATTAGGCTGTGATAAGCATCTTTTTTACATAAATCATCCACATTTAAGATGATTTCCTTAAGGTTATTTAGAAAAATGTAATTTTTTTGAAGAATATTTAAAAAAATTTTTATGTATTATTTTTCAACTTGACCAGAGAGAAAGAGACAGGGAAAGTGAGAAAGCAGGCTGCCAGGGTGGGGACTCAAACTGCAGTTGGCCATGTTGTCCAGTGCCTTAACCACCACACCACCTGCCGGACCCAGACAAAGACACTTTTACAGTCTTTAGATGCATATTTCAGAATTATTTTATAGAAAGGGCATGAATTTATACTCCCACCAGGAATATATAATGAATACATTTTGTGAACTCCCATTACTCATGAGTATTGCTCATTTAAAAATGTATTTTTCTTTACAGCATTTATTTAGTGCTCAACACAGAAGCTTGACTAGACAGAGTAGACAACGATCAGGTACCAACACTTTGATGGAACGTTTCTTGCAGGATGTACTGCGGCACCACCCCTATCATTATCAAGAAAGCAGGTAAAGCACTGAGTGGGGTAGATATTTGTGTTAATGTTCCAATGTTTTTTTTTTTTTTTAATTTTGCCAAAGGTTAAATGCACTCATTGCGGGGGGTGGGGAGAGGTGTGGGTAGATGTGAGGTAGTGAGGAAGCACCTCCCCCATGGGTGATGTTCATATACAATCCCTTCTCTTCTACTTCTCCCTCTTTTTGGAATTCTGGCCATGCACATCTGTCAGTGTATATTTCAAGCTGCCAGGGTTCCAACCATGTAGTCAGCCATGTGGGATCCAGCTGCTTTAACCACCACATCAGTAGCTGGTGCCTAGTAATTCCTCTTTTTTTTTTTTTGCTGTGAGGAGTGTGCACTTGCCAGAGATACAGAGAGACAGAAAGTGAGAAATCACCCCCCAAGGGGGATGGCCACACCTTAATCCCTTCTCCTCTATTCTCCTCTCAGAATCTTATTTAATTTTATTCACTTTTATTATTATTATTTTAATTTGACCAGAGAGATACAGAGAGAAAGGGAGAGGGAGGGAGGGAAAGTGAGAAAGCAAGCTGCCAGGTCCAGACTCAAACCATGGTCAGCCATGTGGGACTATAACACCTCAACCATCATACCACCTGCCAGCTCTACCGCCCAGTAATTTTTAAAATGAGTCTCTTAGTCAAGAAATATAAAGTGAATTTTAATCTAGTAACTTCATTTGCAATTTTTAATTTTTCTTAGGTCAAGTAGGAAATTTCACTACAGAAGATGTGGACTACACTCTTTTTTCTTATATGCCTTATGCCAGTAAATAATTATATATCATTAAGGTTTTCATAGTTATAACATAGGATTAAGCAGGGAAAAAAGATGGGAGCAAAAATAGTAGTGAAAATGCCATATTGGGACCAGCAGGTCTTATGGTGGTTAAGGCACTGGACTCCCACAAGGCCAACTGTGGTTTGAGTCTCAAACCTGGCAGCTTGCTTTTTCACTTTTTCTCTCTCAGTATTAATATTGGGTTGTTGGAAAAGGCATGAACATTTTTTGCATAGAAAAGCATAAAATATGTCATGACAGTTTTATTAAAGTCCATAGTTTATTTTGATTTCCTTAGTTTTTACTTAAACTAAATTTTCCTAAACTAAGAGTTCTTTAGTTTTTTTCTGTTTGGGGATCCCATTGGATACCAATTACATTAACTTATCTGCTTAGGTTCCTCTAGTCTGTGATGGTTCATTCTTTGCTTTTAGGTCTAAATATGATGATTCTTAACTCTATGAATTATAATTATTTTTTACCTGTCTGTCTTCTGCTGCTGCTTGAATGTTCCTTGAGAAGCAGCTTAGCTTTTTTTAAGTTTGTCTCAGTACCTAGCATAGAACCTGTTATGTAGTATTAAGGCCTTAGCAGATGGTTGTCTTATGACTGAATTTTTGTCTGTCTTTAATCAATACACATTTTTTTTTTGTACTGAATATCATACTGGGGATTGTCCTATAGCCTAGTAATTAAGGGAGTTGAACTTTACATGGTTAACTGTTATTTGGGCACCAGCCCCAACAGCTTTAAAACACATTAGGCATGTGTGTATGCATGCCCCAGATCCTACTGAGATGGAGAAATGGAGGTAGGGTTACAGCGTATCAGCCACCTCACCTGGGAGGGTGTTTTCTCCATCCCTCTCTGTCTCTTCTCCCTTTGTCTTTCTCTGGCAAATGCTCCTACCCTTTGGCAGTTTAAAAAATAATGGCATTTTACCCCACAGAAATGTACCATTATTATATGCCACTAAAAAATAGAAAAAATAATTTAACAGCAATGTCATTAGGGCAGCTGTTCGTTTATGCAGGGCCTTCAAAAAGTTAATGGAAAATGTGTATTATGAAAATTCTACACATGGATTTAAAAAATTTTTGCAGTGGGACCAGCAGATGGCGTAAAAGTTATGTGGCTGGGCTCCCACATAATTTACTGTGGTTTGAGTCCCATACTCAGTGGCCTAAAACTCACGCCAGGTGCAAGTGTGTGTGTGCCCAAATTCCCAAGAGGAGAGGAAGAAGGGAATTGCTGGGTGACCATCCCTCTCAGGGGGTGATTTCTTGCTTTCTGTCTCTCTGGCAAGCACATGCACCCTATAGCAAAAATTTCTCTCTAAAAAAATTAATTAAAAATATTTTGTACTAAAATAAATCCATTTTCCAGACTTTTAAAAGCCCTCTAATATATGAAAGAATGATCCCTAAAATGCTTTGGGTCAAGCATGTTGTGATTTTGGTAGAATAAAAGTCATAGACTGAATTTAGGTATGAAAAGTTTCAGATCTTTTAAAATACAATGTAATTTAAACTTCTGAGTGGCATATACATACATGTAGACATAATTAAAAAAGCTTTTTTTATGCTCTGCTCTCCCTATCCCATTCATTTCCCTTGATGTCACAGTGTGCCCTTCTATAGATATTCTAAGTGTATAGTTACTTCTCTTGTATTTTACATAAATGATATCTTTGTGCATGCATATTTGCTTCTCACTAACAGCATTTATAATAATTTATCTTTATTAGTGCACATAGAGCTACTTTATTATTTTTTTCAAGAATTTCTTAAATTTATTTATTTATTTATTTAAATTTGACCAGAGAAGGACAGAGTGAGAGAGCGAGAGGGAAAATGATAGCAAGCCACTAGGTCCAGGACTTGAACTGTGGTCGGCCATGTGGGAGTTCATTGCCCTTAACCACCACACCACCTACCAGCCCCACTGCTTTATAATTTTTAAAAACATGTATTGTATTTCATAGCAATTATTTAATCAGTAGCCTATTGATGAGCATTAAGGTTGATTTAATTTATTTGATATTATCCCTCCCATCAACAACAACAACAAAATAAAGAGATAGTAGTGACTATTCTTGTACATTCTTCATTAAATACACGAGGAAGCCAAAAGTATAATCAGTAGGTTGGAGGGTAAGTACATTTCTTATTTATTTATTTATTTTGGGAGAGGTTTTTGCTATAGGGCGCGTGTGCTCGTCAGACAGACAGAGAGAGACAGAGAGACGGAAAGCGAGAAATCACCCCCCAGGGGGGATGGCCACGCTGCAATCCCTTCTCCTCCATTCTCCTCTTGGGATCTTGGGCATGCACGCACATGCGCCTGGCGTGAGTTTAAGCCACCGGGTCCGGGACATGAACCGTGGTCGACTATGTGGGAGTCCATCGACATAGCCATTACGCTAACTGCTGGTTCTCAACATTTCTTATTTTAATATATATTGCCAAATTGTTCTTCATAGAGGTTACTAAACTATGTAGAGATGCACTCATAATCTTAATAGAGGTTAGCTAGTCTTTCCTCCTACCAACAATGCATTAATGTGCCTATATCCTTATATCCTTGCCAAGATGATGTAATAGTTTATATTTCTGAAAGTTTACAGTGTCTCTGGCTTTTTTTTTCCCTTTAAGGCTGTTTACATATAACAACTAATTTACTCCTCAGAACAACCTCAGCAGGGCAAATGGTGGAAATGGAAGCATACAAGGTTAAGTAGCGTCTGTCAAACTTTTTGCTATTTACCACTTGATACCCGAAAAAAATGTTATAAAGTTCTTTTTGTATTTTTTCTTGGGTTTAGAAGCCATTTATGTTTATTAAGTACAGCAGTTGGTGGAGCTACTCCCATCTTCTGCACTGAGGTATTTACAGTATACAGCCTGTGTGATTGCCCTGATTCTTTGTCCTTAAAGTATGACCCGAATAGAAAGAAAATCATGTTTATCATGCCTTTAACATTTTAAACAGACTTTTAAAAAATGCATTTCCTTTTTCTTTGTAGAGCAGTGCAAAATGAGATACTTACGAGTACCGAATCACCTGAAGTGGTTCCATTGGATGAGTCTGTTCCTGAGGAAAAAGCTGAGGATGCTGCTGGAGCTGGGGCTGGAGATGGAGATGGAGCTGCAGCTGCAGCTGCAGCTGCAGGCGGGGGCGCGCGCGGGGGG